GTCGCCGCCTTTCGTCTTGGCCTGGCTGTTGGTCTGGCGGCTCCGTGGTCGCCGTCGCCGTACTGTCGCCGCTTCGTCTCCGCCCGTCGTCTGGGCTTGCATTGCTTAGCGTTGTCTTGCATTGCTATGCCGTGCTTTGCGTTATATTGCATTGCTGCGCCGCGTAGGTTGCACCACTTAGATTGCACTGCATAGCTTGCACTGCTTATATTCCCTTGCACATGTAGCGTTGCATGTGCATCCATTGCGCCACTTAGATTTCACCACATCGCTAGCGCTGCGTATATGGATGTTCGTTTCTAGTGAACTGCACTAGAGCTTGCACTACAGTGCACAGACTGGAGCTTGCACTACAGTGCGGCTATGCATTGCGTAGGCTGGACTAGCACTGCAGAGCCCATGCTTGCACGGTATAGAATGAGAACCTCCGACCACGACGGCTTTTCGATAAATTTCTTCATCTTCAGAAATGGCTGTTTCAAGAATCCCTTGCAACAAGTAGGAGGGAGTGCGCACGTGCGCGTCGTCTCGCGCGCATCTCGAAATCCTTCAACACCTTGGGTTTCATCAGGATTTCAAAAACGAGCTTCCGAAAACAAATACGAAGGACTAGTTTCAACCAGGATTCAAACAGAAAAAACTCCGCTCGCGCTCTTGCGAAGTGTGAAGAGAACCATCGGCTTTCTCAACAGTTTCATCACATGCGACCAACTTTTCCCCCTCGCGCGCATGTCGAAATCAGCCGAATGCCCTTGCGCGCGTGCTGTTGCTAGAGTCCCTTCCAAAATAGTGGGACGAATTGTACACGCGCAGGCCACGCGCGCATGCCGGAATCCTTCATGAGGATTTCCAAATCGAGTGTCCCGAGATGGTTTGACAACATGATTTTGCAAAACAGTATGCGCGCGCGCTTTCGAATTCTTGCGAAAACCATTATTTTCCAATATTCCCATCAACTGCGACCAAATGTGCCCCCTCGTGCGCATGCCGAAATCATTCGAATGCCCTTGCGCGCGTGCTGTCGCAAGCATCCTTTGCAAAATACTGGGGCGAAGTGCACGCGCGCGTCGTTGCGCGCATGCCGAAATCCCTCAAACACCTTGAGTTGCGCAGGGATTTCAAAGTCGAGCGTCTCGGAGACATATTCTGACACCATGGCTGTGCATAATGAGCTTGCAAACAAGGTGTGCGCGCGCTCTTTCTAATTCTTGAGATAATCGTAGACGGTCAACATCTCTCATCACGTGCGACCAAGCGGGGCTCTCTCGCACGCGCATGTCGCAATCACTCGAACGCCCTTGTGCGCTGGGGGGCGGGCGTGGTCCCTGTCGAACAAGAACCTGCGGGCCAGTCGCGCGCGTCGGCCGCGCGCGCATGCCGAAGTCTTTCCCAAACCTTCATCACCGAGGCGTGGACACCATCATCGCCAGTGGCGTGATCAGCGCCGGTGCCGTCATCGCCCTTGCCGTCGTCATTGTTGTCATCGTCACCAGCATCGCTACTATCATCATCGTGTCTGCCTTTGGTCGACGTCGCCATGATACCGCGCCCTCCCAGGTCACCAACTCGCACTGATGCGCCCGCGCGTCAGCGCGGCTTGCGAGACGTGCTGGGAAGTCCCCAGCGGTCAGCGCCACCGCGGCCGCGTCGGTCGCGCCAGACAAGTTGGCCGCTCTGCGCGCGAGCCTGCGCGCTATCGTGGCTGCACCGACGCGCCAGCTGGCGCCAAGCAACCATCGCAATCGCCGCCGCGAGGGTTTCGAAAAACGAAAAACGAGTTGCGGGTGGATGGGTGGGATGATTGTACGAGCATGGGAGGTGGTCACGCGCGGTGCAGGGTGGTGAATTCTTCTTTCAAAGAAAAAGAATAGACTCTACCCCCCCCCCCGGCGTTATCCGTTCCCCTTTCGGGTATGTAAATACATGTATGATTCTGACCACATGTCCATCCGAAATGTGAATTTACACTACCCCAGGGGGCCCAGCATCGCTCCCCCTGAGGTTCCCTTGCAAAAAAATGGTACGCGGGGGCATTTTTTGTTCTAACATAAGACTTTTCCGCGAATCCTTTGCAACATATTGGACGAAGTGCACACGCGCGCGTCGTCGCGCGCGCATGCCGAAATCCTTCAAAAACTTTCGGTGCCGGAGAGATTTCGCAATCGAGTTTCCAAAAGACATACCAAAACACACGGTTTCGCAACACTGATTTGCTAAAAAACGCTTACGCGCGAGCTCTTGCGAAATCTCAAGAAAAAAAACGTGGTTTTTGTTTGAGATATTCACAACATGCTACCAAACGGGCTTCGCGCGCGCGCATGTCGAAATCTGTCGAACGCCCTTGCGCGTGTGCCGTCGCGAGAAACAAACCTCTGCTAAAAAAGGACGAAGTGCAGATGCGCGCGTCGTCGCGCGCGTATGCCGAAATCCTTCAAAACCCATCGGGATCGGAAGGATTTCGAAATCGTGTGCCCAAAAGACCTACAAACATACTAGGTTTCACATCACGGATGTTCAACAAAAGCGTGCGCGCGCGCTCTTGCGTCGTCGTCGTCGTCGTCGCCGTCGTCCCTCCTCCCGCGTCGTCGTCGTCGTCGTCGTCGCCGTCGTCGCCTACGTCGTCGTCTGTCTTTCCTCGTGTTCGTCGTCGTCGTCGTCCTCTTTGGCGTCGTGGTCGTTTCCGTCGTCGTTGTCGCCGTGGTCGTCCTTCCTCCTCCTCCCTCGTCGTCGTCGTCGTCCGTCGTCGGCGTCTCGTCGTCGTCCCTCCTATTTCGTCGCCGTCGTCGTCGTCGTCGTCGTCGTTGTCGTCGTCGTCGTCTTCCCTCCTCCCTCGTCGTTGTCGTCGTCGGCGTCGCCGTCCTTCCTCCTTCTTCGTCGTTCGCGTCGTCGCCGTCCTCCCTCCTCCCTCGTCGTTGTCGTCGATGTCGTCGTTGTCGCCGTCGTCGTCCTCCCTCCTCCCTCGTCGTCGTCTTCGTTGGTGACGTCGTCGTCGTCTTCGTCGTCGTCGTTGGCGTCGGCGTCTCGTCGTCTTCGTCGTCGTCGACGTCGGCGTCGTCGTCGTCGCCGCCGTCGTCGTCGTCGTCGTCGTCGTCGTCGGCGTCGTTGACGTCGTCGTCGTCGTTGGTGTCGTCGTTGTCGTCGTCGTCGGCGTCGTCATCGTCGTCGTCGTTGTCCTCGTCGTCGTCGTCGTCGTCGGCGTCGGCGTCGTCGTCGTCGTCGCTGTCGGCGTCGTCGAAGTCGTTGGAGACGTCGTCGGTGTCGTCGTAGTCGTTGTCGCCGTCGTCGTCCTCCCTCCTCCCTCGTCGTCGTCTTCGTCGGTGGCGTCGTCGTCTTCTTCGTCGTCGTTGGCGTCGGCGTCTTCGTCGTCTTCGTCGACGTCGGCGTCGTCGTCGTCGCCGCCGTCGTCGTCGTCATCGTTGGTGTCGTCGTTGTCGTCGTCGTCGGCGTCGTCATCGTCGTCGTCGTCGTTGTCATCGTCGTCGTCGTCGTCGGCATCGGCGTCGTCGTCGTCGTTGTCGGCGTCGTCGAAGTCGTTTGAGACGTCGTCGGTGTCGTCGTAGTCATTGTCGGCGGCGTCGTCGTCGTTGTCGCTGTCGTCGTCGGCGTCGCTGTCGTTGCCAAGTGCCATTTGGTACCCACCGTCACGGTCTTAAGAGATTATGCTAACCAAGTTGCGGGTGGGTGGGTGGGATGTTTGCGCGAGCAGTGGAGTGGACAACTCACTGCGAACAGAAATCCACATACCTTGCACCACATAGACTGCACCACATAAATGGCGCCGCGTTGGTTGCACTGCATCGTATGGCAGACCACACTCTTTGAGGGCCACGCTGGATAACATACTGTGGTACTATATGATCTGGTCGGACGCGCGCTTCCAAAGAGACCTCATCGCATCGCACTGGTATGTCCTTATGCGCCCCGTGATCGGCACGAACGACATGGGTAGCTATGGAACGGGCGGTGGCAAAGACCGACCGCCGTTCCCGTCCGTTTTGACAGGGCTCGCCGTCGGTGCCGCCGCGGGCCTTGCCCCTTTGAGAAAGAAGGCCGCCTGCCCAACAGCGGCCGCTGTCGGTTTTGGACAACGTTTGATTTGGGGCATCTTGCTCGTCTTTCCGTACCTACTTCGGGCGTCTATCTAGACAAGGCGGCTGAGGAAATCTGCTCTGGTTCGTTCGACGCTGGCATTCGAGTGTGCTGGTGCAGTCCGCAGTCGGTTCCGTGAATCGACGTGCGTTTCGCCCGATGCGTTCGGTGTCTTTTGGGCATCGATGATCTACGTCAGTGGGGTCCACTCGGAAGGCGGTGCCGTGCGCACGTGGAGTGCCCGTGGCAGCTTTCATCAGAGGGAGGTTTTCGGGAGGGGGTGCTGTCCACCCTCGATGTCATTCGGCGGCGCCTTCCGATAAAAAACGCCCCTACCCTGGTTTACGAGGCGCTGTGCGCTGAAACTCCAGTGGGCTGACAGGGTAAACCTTGCGTAATGTGCCGCGCCCTGGCGGCTCTAGGCTTTGGGGGTTCCCAGGAGGTTTACAGACCACGCACTTGTAACCCAGGGTAGGGTCGTTTTTTTCATCCCTCAACTGAGGCGCACGCAGTAGCGTCGGGCCCCGTTTTCGCGCGAAGTCGGTGCGCTCCGTCGCCAAGTATCACGTTCCGGGGGGGGGGGGGGGGCTTCCCCGATCCGTGCAAATGACGCGCACGCGCCAGATCCACGGATCCCTAGTTCATGTTAGCGCATGCCCGACTGTTTCTTTTTCATTCGTCGGCAATATCTCCCCCGTCTCGGACTCGGGGGCTCTTCCTATCGGGCCCGGGAAGTGCCATCAAGAATGGAGCCGGGATGAAATGAGATCACCCTTTATTTTACGCAGGCAAGTTTACTTGCATGGCGTGCCCCCCCACGCCCATTCCGCCGCCTTTTCGAGCAGCGATGGGCCAGAAAGGCGTGGAAGCTTGTCCCGACTTGCGTGAAGTCTCCATTCCCTTTCGGGCCTCGCCTTCCCCCCTCTCTTCCCCCTTCAACCAGAACATTCGCCACAGTCTGACCGGAGCTATTTGAGCTCAAGGCAGTTCCGTCTCAAGGGTGGCTGCAAAGTCGTCTCTGAAAAGCGTCCCAGCGAAGCGAAGAGAGACAAGTTCTTCGGACATGGCCCGCTCTTCCTCGCTTCTGATCGCCTGCGCCATCGCGGTCATCGCCGTCGTGTCGGTGGCCTCTCTGGGGCTGAGCTTCGTGGGGGCGCCGGCGACGGCGGGCCTGCGTGCTGGCCAGCGCCAGCCCAGCGTGGAGATGCAGTTCTTCGGCGGGTCGCCATTGCCGGGGCCGTCGCGCGCGTCGTCGTCGGCGGGAGGGGACTGGCGCGCCAGGGCCCAGGCCGACCTCTACTCGCAGAGCGGGGTGTATGTGGTCTCGGCCTCTATCCTGTTCCTCTGCTTGTGTGTGTTGAGCGGCAACACTGGGCCCGGTTACTTCGGCGGCTTTTTCGACTACAAGCTGTAGGCGGCCTTTGGTGCCGGAGGCGCTGAGGCCGCAGCTCCATCGCTGGCGGGCCCACCGAACGCCCGCTGGCAGCTGGACGCCGGGTGGCAGCAGCTGGAGGTTTTGTGAAGGTCGTGAGCGGGCTGGGCTGGCGGGCCGCTCATCCGTCGTGGGCGGAAAGACCTCTCCGCACCTGTGGCGTCTCAGCGGTCGTGGGCGAAAGACCTCTCCGCACCTGTGGCGTGGCCTCGCGGCCCGGGCTCCTGGGCGGGGCGGCCCCGCGGGCACGGCGCACTTTTGCTGCTTCGCGGAGGCCCCGCGCGGAGCGCAGCTGCGGCGGCGTGCCCGCGGGGCCGCTCGTCCCAGAGTTCGGGCCGCGAGGGCGCGGTACTGCGGACGTGCTCGCCGCTCGTGAGGGTTCGGCAGCCGCTGGAGGTTTTCGTTTTTTGGCGTCAAGTCGTGCCTGTCCCTCTACAGGGAGAATATCAAAAATAGTAAGAATACAGTCTGGGGACGATTTTTGTATTTTTTTTGCAAATCTGGGGCATTGTATTGTTATTATTATTATTATTATTATTATTGTTATTATTATTGTTATTATTAGTATTATTATTATTACTATTTTATTTTTGTTCTTTCGCCTAACACCCCCCTGTAAGGGCACAAACCCGACCTAATTTTGGCGGCAGGCAGCGGGCCAGGGCCGGAGGGCCCGCCCGCCCGCGCAGGCCGCGCGCCCCGGGGTCTCTGAGCTCCGGGCGGTCGAGCAGCGGCGGAGCGTCCTGGCTCGCCTGCAGGCCTGCCAAAGAATGTTCTAAGGACCGTCTTGGGCTTCAACGAAGTCTTCGTAGAACCTTTCCGGCTGGGACTGTCTTGCTTTAACACATCGGGCTCATGTTCTCAGATCGGGAGCGGAAAAGAGGGGGGTGATGACTAGGGGGGGGGGATTTCATGGCGCGGGCCATGATATTTCCCCATATTTCATGGCGCCTCTTCTTATGTCATTACGTCCCTTGCCCCCCCGCTGGGCCGCGCACATGCCGCCAGTCATGATTTGCACACACCCCTCTTGGACACCCCCCTCTTGGCCGCTCCCGATCAGAACATCGCTTTTGTTCTTAGAACATTTTTGGGTTCTAAGAATATCTCGTGGTAGGCATATAGGAATGCGGGGACGGTCGGTCCCTGCTCAAGGCGGACGCTCCCCCCTGGTACGGCGAGCGTCTCGACGGCGATCTCGCTCCGCGAGGCCCTGACGCTGACGACACACCAGCCCCATCGACGTCGCGATAAACATCCCCTGCCAGAGTCTGCGGTTGGGAACCTTTGCTTGGTCAGCGTGTCGCTCCGCCGATTCTGGCCCACCACGCTTCGGCGCGACACGCTGCCCCCGTCCCCGTCCTCAAGCGTCAGCGTCCTGAGCGGTTCCCCGCCTGCCGCCACGCGGAGCGGAGGGGCACGCCATCCGCTCGCAGGGCACAGCGTGTCGCCGGGGCCGCCGCCGCGATACGCTGAGCAAGAGCTCCCGATCGTAAGGAAGAACTGGCTCAAATGGGCCCAGGATGAGAGTTGAGATTACCTCGGGCAGGTGGTGGGGCGCTCATGGGGCCACAGCCTGAAGCAATCGCGTCGCTGGACGTCTTGGGGCCTCTCGTCGTCCCCGTCGTTGCCGCCGTCGCCGTTGTCGTCATCCTCGCTGTCGTCGAGGATATTCGGCAGCCTTTGTCCACCTCCAGCTACCTGTGTCTTGGTCTCTCTCTCTCTCTCTATCGTTCCCTCTCTTTATTTCTCTTGTATCTCCCTCTCTATATATATATATATTTTTATGTGTGTATATATATATATATATATATATATATTAACGTCTCTCTCTCTCTCTGGTTGCTTCTTTGTTTGTGTTTTTGTTATGCTTTCTCTGTCTCCTTGTCTCTCTCTCTCTCTCTCTATATATATACATGTCGGTATATATGTACATACCGGTATGTATATATATATACACATACATTATATATACATACCTGGTCATGAATACATCTCATCAGGCCTCCTGGAGACCGTAAACCCCACCTGCGGAGTGCTTCTCGAGGCCCCAGGCCTCCCCGGCGGCTCGGCAACGAGCCCCCCCACCCCGCGCCAGAGGTCTTTCGCCTCCTCTGGCGAGGCGTCGGGGGGGGCTGCTCCCGCCTCCGCCGCCCCCCCCCCTTCAGGAGGGGAAAAAACAGGGCCACAATTAATCGTCGATTTCCCAACATATGGGGGAAAATGTGGGAAGTGGGGGGGAAGACGAACCTCCAAAACATATGGGAAAATATGGGGAATCCTTTTACTTGAGTGTCTTTTTTTTGTGTCCCAGGGCCCCTTCACCCCTCCTCCCCAGGGAGGGGCTCGGCGCCGGGCGGAAGCTCGGCCGGGCCGAGCTCGGCCCAAGGCCGACTGCAGCTTGGCCGAGCTTTCGCCTGGCCGAGCTCTCGCCCCTGGCCGAGCTCTCGGCCTGGCCGACGAGCTCTCGGCCTGGCCGCGCTTTCGCCCGGCCGAGTCTCGCCCGGCCGAGTCTGGTTGCTGCCCCCCCCCCCCGGGCGTCAGAAGGGGCGGCCCGGGTGCAGGGGGCCCGCGGCCCGTGTCGAGGGAGGCGCCGGGAGGCGTTGGCACCAGTCGCAGCCTTGGCGGGCCCGTCCCAATTCTTTCTGCGCAGGCACTGTCTGGGGGATATGGTGGAGACCAGGAGCGCGAAAAGACGGGCAGGACAGTCTGAGGATGCCGAGGAGGGTCATGAGAAGGAGGAGGAGAAGAAGAAGAAGAAGAAGGAGAAGAAGAAGAAGAGGAAAGAGCGGAGGAGGAGAACGCAGACGATGGTGAGGATGAATAGGATGAGGTGAAGAAGGAGAGGGAGGGTGGAGGCGGGGGATGCGAGGAGGAAGGTCAATGGAGGCTCATGCGGGGAAAGGGGACTCGGAGGAGATTGGGGGGACGGCGGCGAAAGAGGATGATGAGAACGACGAGGAGAGGGAGGCGAAGGAGCCAGGCTTTTGAAGCGGTTCTAGTCTCTATGATTGCTTCTGTGGACCTCTAGAAACCTGCAGAGAGGAGGGTGTGGAGTAGATCAGGAACTGCTCGGTCTCGCTGTTTTCATCGACTGTTCCATCTGCCGTGTTCGAAGAAGGCCCGACATCGATCCCGGCGCCGCCACACAGTTGCCGACAGCGGCCACGAAACCGCCGACGACGCCGACGCCAACGACGACGGATCAGCCGAACACCTCGACGGTGGCGACTTCGCCGCCAACCACGGCGCCGAAGCCGACGACGACAACATCGCTAGCGGCGACCCAGAGGCGACTGCTCTGGAGCCAACAACTCAGACGACGACGCCATCGCCAGCGTGGACCCGGTCGATGCCGACGTCGACGCCGCCGCCGCCGCGCCGGCGCCGCCGGCGACGCCGGCGCCGCTTGCGACGCCGACGCCGCCGCCGACGACGGCGGCGGGCATCGACGGTGCCGGGCCGCCTGCCAGTGGCCGCGGGGGCAGCGGCGGCACATGCGCGCCGTCCGCCGCCCCTGCAGCAGGCCCCTGGCGCGCCTGGTCGGCGAGGCGGCGACGGCCGCGGCGCTTCTTGGCGACAGCGCAGCGGGCCGACGCGGAGCGACGGCGCCGCCCTGGGCTCGGACGCTGGCGGCTCGCGCAGGCCCGCGGCCGTCGTCGGCCGAACATCAGCGTCGTCGTCCGCGCCGTCGTCGGCGGCGGCGTCGTCGTTGTCGTCAGCGCTGTCGTCGTGGGTGGTGGCGGTTGCGGCGTCTCCGGTGTCGTCGTCGTCGTCCGTCGTGCTCGGCGTCGGCCTCCGTCGGGGTCGGCGTCGCCGGTCGCTGCAATCGTCGGCGGCGTCGCAGTCGCAGTCGGGGCCGGCTGCGTCGTCGGCGTCGAGGGCGGCGTGGCAGTCGTCGCTTTCGGCGTCGGCGTCTGCGCTGGCATCGGCGGCGTGGGCGATGGCGTCGGCGTCGGGGTGGGGTGGCCGCGCCTACCCTCTCTTCTCCCAGCTCGGGCGCAGGCTCCTACCTCATTCTTCCCTCTCTCTCTCTCTCTTTATCTCCCCCCTCCCTATCTCTCTATCTTTCTCTCTCTCTCTCTCTTTCTCGATTCTCTCTCTCTCTCTATCTTTCTCTCTCTCTCTCTCTTTCTCGATTCTCTCTCTCTCTCTTTCTCTCTCTTTCTCTCTTTCTTTTTTCCCCCCTTTGCGTTGGCCCGTCGTCCTGCCTCCATCCTGCTTCCTGCTCTCCGCTCCCAGCATCTCTCACTCCGCCATCCCTCCTCCATCGAACACGCACGCTTCGAAGACGCGCGTCGCATCATCATCGCCATCAGCATCGCCATTTTCATTATCCTCGTGGTCGGGCAACACCATCGTTCGCCACGTTCAGCAGCTTTGGTCCCCGCCGTTCTGGCGCGACCGGAGCATCGTGCAATTCCTGCGCGCCCGTCTCGATTCGGTCGCGCTCCCGAGGGTCCCCTCTGGCCCCCAGCGCTCAGCGGCTGCCGAGGCCAATCAAGCAGCCGCCCTCGCCGAGAGGCTTCAAAAACGCCCGAAGTGCCGAGCTATTTACACTCATGCCCTCTCCCGAGAGCTATACCCAGACCGTTTTCACCTGACGCTGCAGAAGCGCGTGAAGCATGGTTCCCGACGATGCAGGTCCCGCCCCTCGCCCCTCGCTGGTCCGAGCTGCGTGCGGTCCTGGCCAAAACCCGCCCGACCGTTTTTTGGTCCGTCCTCAAAACCCTCTCGGGCGGGTGGATCACCACCCGCAGACTGCACATCCTGGGCCAGCGGGGGTGCGCCTTTGGGTGCGAAGGGGGGCCTGGTTCGATGTCACACTACCTCTCCTGCCCTCGCCTGCTTCACCTCGTCGCCCTACCCCGCTCCTTCCTCCCCAACTCGGTCATCACGCGTCTGGGTCTCGGTGAGGAGCATGAGTACTCGGTGGAGGCCTCGCGGGAGCGCGCAGTTTTCCTCCTCGCACTGGCTTTCAAACTTCACCACAAGCTTAGGGTACGGTCACTTGGATCGCCCTCTCATTCACTTTACAATGAGCACCTTGAGGTGCTGGCTGCGGCGGGTCGCTCGCTAATGGCCCGAGGCAAAGAACACGTTGCTAGAAACAACGCGTGATTATCATCGTAATCATCATCCTCACACCATCATCATCGCCATCAGCATCACTATCATCGTCATTCTCATCATTCGTATCGCCAGTATCGCCAACATCATCATCCTCAGCATCGTCGTCGTTCTCGTCAGCACCATCGTCGTCAACATCCGCATAATCGTCATCATAACCCTCATCATCATCATCTGCGTCACCATCATCATCACCATCACCATCATCATCGTCATCATCGCCATCATCTTCACAATCACCACAACCATCACCACCACCATCCGCATCATCATCATCATCATCATCATCATCATCATCATCATCATCATCATCATCATCACCACCATCATCATCATCATCATCATCACCAGCGTCACCACCACCATCATCACCATCATCAGCATCATCATTATCACCATCATCACCGCCATCATTTTCATTATCCGTAAGGGCTTCGCCCCCTGCCGCCGGCCCCCTCTCTATCATAATAGGATATATGAAAGTCGCGTCGGCGCGTCTCGGCGCTGTCTTGGCGCATCTGCAAACATCATGCGGGGGCGGATAGGAGTCATCAGCGCATATCGAGACGTTGGCGTTGCCCTGGTGGTTTTCGGCCCATCCCCCCACCGTGCCTGGGTTGTGGGTCAGAGGGTGTTGGGGTGTCGTGGGAAGCCTTTTTCGGGGGCCTCTTACAGGCGGTTTGGGCGCCCTTTGGGGGCCTCTTGGGGCCTCGTGGAGCGCGTCTTGGGCGCCTCTTGGGGCCTCATGGGGCCTCTTGGCGGCCTCTTGGGGCCTCCTGGGGGCTTCTCGGGGCGCAAATATCGAATTGTCGATTCGCGGTCACCTGCTGAGGCCCCTCTTGGGGCCGCCTTGGGGCCTTTTTGGGCCGTCTTGAGCGCTTCTTGGGCCATCTTGAGGCCCTTCCAGACCGTCTGGGGACCTTTTGAGAGACCTCTTGGGCTGTCTTGGGGCGGTCTTGGGAGCTTCTTGAGCCGCCTTGGAGCGTCGGAAAAGCCGAACCAGCGAGAAGGCCTACATCCTGCAACAACTTTGGCAACATCACCTATTGGGTCGTTTTGGAACCGTCCTCGGGCGCCTTGGGGCATTCTTTGCCTCGGCAATGCGAATACGGCGAACTTGCGAGGGTGAATGGCCTCGGGGACGCGCATACTGCGTAACTTACAAAGGGATTCTGGCCTCGGGGGCGCGAGGCTCATGTATTTGTACGTGTCTCACGCCCCCCCAGGAATTCAGAGCACGCGATCCAGGCGTGGTAATCTGGCGGTTTAGGCTCCCCCCCCTCTCGCGCGGATGTCAACAATTTACCATAGGAAGCAGAAAGCAGGACTGTAACGTTGGAGACTTGAAGCTGCAACTGGCGCAGGAATTAGCGCACTTCGTCCTGCAGCCTGGTGGCCCCACAAGGGTGCCGGTGGATCCACATCATCATCATCATCATCATCATCATCATCATCATCATCATCATCATCATCATCACCATCATCATCATCATCATCATCAGCATCATCATCACCACCATCATCATCATCATCATCATCATCATCATCATCATCACCATCATCATCATCATCAGCACCACATCTTTATCAACAGCAACATCAGCTGCATCGTCGTCATCATCATCATCATCATCATCATCATCATCATTATCAACATCATCATCACCATCAACACCACCTTCGCCATCAGTATCAACAATAACATCATCGTGATCATCACATCATCGTCATCGACATCATCATTGTGGCCGTCGTCATCATCATCCGCATCAGCATCAGCGTCAGTATCAGCATCATCACCATCAGGATCATCATCAGGATCATCATCATCATCATCATCATCATCATCATCATTGCCATCATTATCAGCATCAGCATCAGCATCACCATCATCATCCTTGTCAAAATCACCATCATTACCATCGTCACCATCAACAACACTACCACCTCTAACACCAGCATCACAATCATCAGATCTGCTGTTTTTTCCTGCGACTTCCCCCCTCCACAGCACGGCGTTGCGGCGCTGTGGCGGTGCGGTGCGAAGTCGACCCGCTCCGATCCAGTCCTCCCTCCACGGGCGCGACGCCAACCACGCAACTGTCGAATCGCGGCGGCCCGGCGGCGGTCTGCTGTTGCACCGCCCGCCGCGCGGCCATGGATACGAGGGCCTCTCCTCCGCGGGGGGCTCGCCGTCCTGCCAGGGCCTTGGCGCCCCGGCTTGGGGCAAGGGAAAGACTCGGCCTCGGCCGAGTTCGGCCTGGCCGAGTTCAGCTTGGCCGCCGTCGTCGTCGTCGTCGTCGTCGCTGTCGTCGTCGTCGCTGGCGTCGCCGTCGCCGCCGCCGTTGCCGTCACCGTCGCCGTCGCCGCCGTCGCCGCCGTCGTCTTCGTCGTCGTCGCCGCCGCCGCCGCCGTCGCCGCTGCCGCCGCCCCCCAGGCGGAGCGACCCGCGCCGAGAGGAGGACGGCCGTGGCCGCCCAGAGCGCTACGGCAGGTGCCCGGAGCGCGGCCGCGCGGCCGCATCCGGGCTTCCCGCCTCCCCGTCGGCGGGTCCTGCCTTCAGCCTCTT